CTTTCTGAAACTCATCACTGTTCTGATGCTGGCTTCTAATCCTTGAGGACTTCTAGTTCTGCGCTTTGTGGTGGGGTTCTGGGAGACTACAAAAATCCATGACCTTGGTCCCAAGCAGCCTCTCCTCATCTGCAGATCCCAAGAGGTTCCTTTGGCACTGAGAGAGATAAAATGAATAAAAAGATGCTGAAAGAGTACATGGAAAACATTAAACATGAACTTGATTGAACACAGATTTGAGCCTACATCAAAGTGATAACGGAAGCAAAGTGCTCTTTCTTCTCCACCTGTATTGTGTTGGTTACTGGAGTGAGCTCCAGCAGCAACTCTCTTTAGGGAGACTTGTTCAGTTTTGCAGACTTTTAGGATCTGCCCCTAGTTCCTGTGAGAGGAAGGTGTGGTGGAAGACCTAATCCAGTGACTGGAGGCTAGAAGGATCTGGATGAGAAGAAAGAGGTTGAAATTTGGTCCCAGCAACAGAAGGTTACTGTTTGTCCAGAAACCATGGGGCTCTGACTGTTCCAGTGGTTAGTCTGGATGGGGTAGCATTCTTCCTGAAGGAGCAGTCTATGGCTTGGAGGTTCTCCTAGGCTCACTGCTACTCCTTCACAGATGGTAGAGGTTGTGGCTAGAGGAGCTTTTGGCCAGCTTTGGCTGAGCCCTAGTTGTGGCCCTTTCTGGGGAAGTCACTCATGCCCTTCATCTCCTGGTTGAATTACTATGATGCCTTTACATGGGGTCCCTCAAAAGACTATTTGGAAACTGGTACAAAATCCTGCAGCTGCACGTTAGCAGAGAAGAGTTGCTATTCACATGTAACACCTGTGCAGTGGGTGCTGCATTGGCTGCCAATAGGCTTTCAGGTACAATTCAAGGTGCTGGTATTGACCTATAAAGCCTTACATGTCTTGGCATTTGGGTACCTGCATGTCAGCCCTGCAAGGTAGCCCAGACAGGAAACTAAAACCCTGAGTCCTAATACTACTCTATTGTAAGGTTATGGTAACAGAATCTTGCAAGTCTGAAAACGCTTCCCCCCTCTCCCACCTTTGCATCCTAGAGACTAGGCAGGGTCCCTTTGGAGGCACTTTCTCCACCCCCATTCCAGCTTTGGACTCAGATTTCTCTTATCAGACCATTGTCTAGGCTGCAGCTCTTTCTGCTGTCTCCCAAGGTTATTCTCAGAGCCCATTACACTGCAGGAACTTTTTCAGGTGAAAGTTACCTGTCTGGTGTGTCTGTGTTAGATGGGCAGGTTGCAGCTTCCTCCCTCACAGGAAAGCAAGAAATGTGTGTTTTCTGTGGTAGCACCCACCCCTTTGAGCAGCCTTCTATTAGAGATATGGATGGGGCCTTTGCTCCTGGGATTGAAGGAGGAGTTGTGCAAGACATTTGGCAGTTGGCATCTGGCCATTGGATGCCTATTTAGTTTAGTTTTAATGTTATCATTGAAGTGTGATTTGATTGGCTTTGGGTATATTATGTTGGCTTACCATATTTTTCTGTTAATAAGACGCCCCCATGTATAAGACGACCCCCACTTTTCCAACCCAAAATTAAGAAATTGATATTTTAAAGATAAAGCAGAACACGTTTTTATTTAGTAATTGGGGAACATTTACAAGATACACTCAGTGGGAGGAGGTCCAAATTGTCTCTCTGCAGCTCTATTTCTATGCTCTTTTGGATAACTGATTACATTCAA